ATTTTGTTTTAAATACTTTGAACGTCTAAATTTATTCTCACATGTGATTAGCAGATACCTACTAAACAACAGCAAACAAATCAAATCAAAAAGTATTTAAGAGAATGCCTCAATTTGACACAAAATTTTATTTTATTACATTTAGTAGACGACCTAAGTACGATCGTCAGATAAATGTATTTTATCAGGGTTATCTAACATTAAAATTCAATCATAATTTAACGATGTCGCCGTTCAAGGCGGGTCGTAATTTTTATATGGAAGCCTGAATGATCAGTGGCATTATAAAGTTTCTCGCATACCTATCACGATTACTGGTCGTTCGGACTGAACAATGGGACGTCAACTTTGCTAATTGTACAGTACAGAGTAAAAAAGACTAACTGCACATCAATTACTGTTACGTGAGTTCAAATCATTGTGTTGTAATTACACAGACAGGTACTTACCTACAATGTTTCTGTGAAAAGAATACAAGTGCAGTTTATTTACAAAGGAGCGGAGGAAAATGTATCCGGAAAATGTGAAACGATTTTTTCTTTGACTTTAAATTATTGTTTAAATCAGTATTTTGTAGTTATTTTTAATTGTGTTGTTTATGATAATTACGTTGTATTAAATAGATGCGATTTCATAACAATATCTCCTATTTCAATTATTGGACCTGCGACGTACAAAATCAGGACACCGTTGAACAATTTTGAATATAGTATACTCAATTTAAATTTTATATGCGGCAATGATAATAATTTGTACTAATATTTGAAGAAAGTTTATCTAAACATCAAATATCAACTTCGATATGAAACTTCAAAGTTTGTTTTGAGATACGAGGTTTTTGAAACAAATTTTAAAATGTAACGGTCACGTTTATATAATAACATCAACAGGAATTATTGGAACGTGCATTACTTACTGATTTTATGGCGAACTTACATTTTAATGACTTTTCCGAAGCTTTCACCAATAACAAAGATGTTATGATGTTTGTAACAAGTATATAACTCCATTCAATCCCTGTACACGTGCTAATAATACCGTGATCAGCAATTATAATCTATTGGAATTTTGAATCAGAAAATGTCAAGTACTTCTATAGCGAAGTTTAAGAATTGGCTTCAACAATCAACCATACACGTAAGAAACTTGCGCAATATTTATATTAATTTCAGGGGATCAGTCGGCCATGTCCAGTTGGGTCAGCAGGTAGTCTCAACCCCGCTATGTATGCGGCGAACTTATTATTACATAACATGACATAGCACCACGTACATTCGTGTATCGGTACGTGGTAGCCCTGACATGCTTCGATCAATTCAATCGCAACTATAGAGATCCCTTATGTGGATTCAAATGTTGGCCTAATGTTTCACACAACGTCCAACCACGCATACGAATGGAATTCGGATAAAAAACATATTATCATAACGCCTAATGGAGCAGAGAAAAACGTCTCAATTCATAAACGTCGCACATAATCGGGCAAACTCACTAGATTAATCATTCTAAAGAACTTTCTACAATTTATTATCATGGCACTTAAAAATTGTCTATTTAGTGTTAAAAATGACGAAGTTCCGTCACACAGTGCACATTGCATCACAGCGACCACGGGCGTTGTCTGGAATCCATGCATGTTTAGTGTCTGTCTACTTACTGTTTATTGAGAATTTTATTATCTACAACGAGCACAAGCTGTGCATTCCTTATGGCGTAAACATTCAAGTATTCGAAGACACGATAACATGACTATGTGAGGTCAAGTGAAAAATCAAACTCCCTGAAGGTTATTAACATTCCTTACTTATTAATAAGTACGAGTCGAAGCGAGTATCAAGTCATATCGCAGGAATCGCGGAACGAATCTTTAATGGACATCATGCTTAAAGGAGCTCTTAAATTGGTTAATGCATGCAAGACGTGCATATTTGATGCAAAGTTCACTATAAGCTTCGTTCCTCTCTGTAATGAATATCTTACTGTAATATTCAATATAAACGGTTTTATTGTTCTCCTTCAGTTATAATACACATTCAGAAATCTCTGAAGTCATAACGATCGTCCTTTTGTTAACACTCATCACGATTATCACAATGAAGTGTCTGCAGCCAAAGCGTCATAAAATATCAATTCGCGTTCAATGTCACTCAAACGGGTCAGTAACGTTCAAATAAACAGAGTATATTATTTTCGAAATATTCCTTCGAGATACACATAAACGTGCTCGAATACAAGATTTAGATTTGTGTGGTAATAATAAAAAGATTGTACAAATATCATTGGCGTCTAGTTAGCAACCTCTATTAGATCATTGTAACAATATGCGAGACGGCCCGAATAGCTGGAATAGCTGCACTCTCGCTTCGCTGCCAACGAAATGGAATCCGTTGCCATTAGAAATTCTAGTGTACATGATGACTTCATTGCTATCGGGATTCCTTCAGCGCGTGCCGTGTCCACCCCACCTCAGGTGTCACTCTTAACACGCATTCACATTCACATTTTTCCAGCAACTAGATGCTGGAATTTATTTACTCCAAAGCCTTTCATATTTTACGCGAGTATCTGTATCATTAGGTACACAGGTAGTAGGATCTAATCAGTGTTATTTATCGTTGCTGTTCTTTGCTAAGCGGTTGTGCTATCAGGCAAACAGCGATACTTTAGCACGTCCGAAAATAATATTTGTACTTACAACAATAGTGATCAGTGATTGCATACCGTCCTAAGAATGCTCGTAACTGTAGTCCGCAACGCAACCTACATTCAGCATTCTTTTCGAAACCGTAACACGCCGCCTCTGCGTTCCGGATATACTCGTTCATGCCACATTCACCCCAATATCTTTCGCAATAAAACCTATTTCAATTTGATACATGTGATAGAATGCCAGGTATTGCATTTCTAGAGAGCTGTAAAACTACATACACAAAGTAATGCGATTGATATGATCAATTTATTGATAGCCGTCTCTATATTTCCAAGTGCTAAAATGTTAACTCTTGGATCTGGAGAATTTAACGGGTATGCTACTGATGTAACTATTTATTTGCAAATACTATGAAAACAAGTAATTTTTCATTTTATTAACAAAGATAACCCAATTATTTTCGGAGGTTTATTCGTATCTGTATAACTTGTACCAATTATTTTTATATACGAGTTAGTTTTAGCGTGGTGCTTTACATAAGCGTAACGTGGGCTCGGCGTGGTCGTAGTTAACGAGGCAGCCCTAAAACATGAGCCGTGCCAATTTGTTGGTCGGTAGAGAGCATGGTCCGACCAAATTCCTGAACGCTTTCTCTGGTGCTGGTGGTGGCCGGGGCGCGCACGCATGCGCCGTGCTCCTCGCCTTCGCACGCAGACCAACGAAAGTGAGCGCCAAGCCGCGTGCGCCCGCGCCGCTGTCATCACGTTGCATAATTATCCGCGATCCGACCATTGTTTGTAAACACTCAATAAACAAGAACACATCACTTAAATTGCGTGACCGTATTTTGATTAGATAGGTACGCGTATCAAATCTGCATCGTTAAGTGGAATTAAAATTACACATTTTTTATCTGCAAAATTCCTTAGACTAATTGTCTGCGTGATAATATTAACAATACGTATACGTTTATACTTAGAACAAAAATGTAATAGATTACTCAAGCATGTATTGGCCATGAAGACCAATTCATTACCTCAACGAAAAATTTAAAAGTTAATACCTAAATTTCGTTAATGTACAATAATAATATTTGCCAGGTAACTACTATTTCATAATTGTGTAAATGTGTTGCAAATATTGGTATGCACTCGTTTGTTGGAGGGATGCAAGGTAAGCCGGATGGCTCGTCGGATTGTGGGTCGGCGAAATTTGCGCGGGACGCGTTTCACGTCGCCATGGTATATTCGCGCGGTGGCTCTCAGAAAGGTCTGCTTTCTCATCTGAGTTTAACTCCATTGTTAAGTTATTCTTAGAGAGAAAGGCTTATTGATTGTTAATCGTTCATCCATTATAATTAACTTCAATGTGTGCGAAACTCAAAATAAGGTATCCACATTGAACCCGGATGTGACGCTCGAGTGCATACTACCAAGAGTACCAAGAAAAAATTGGTCAGCGTGACGGTCATATTCAGTCGGTCATCGAGGAAGCGAGGTTTAATCGTCAATGAAGCCTTTCATCGCGAAACCAGTCCAAGTAGATAAGTACTTAGACAATGATATCCTTTGTGAAACAATTACCGGTGTGAAGCCGCTTGAAGCAACAATTCCGACAAAAAAAACGTCGATTGTTTGCTGTTTGGTAGGGTTGAACGACACAAATAATGGAAAATAATCATGATCATTGAAACTTATTTTGTAGAGGAAAACAGAGTTATAATAACAGGCGATTGTGTTAAGTTTCTAAATATAGATAAGTGTACATTGTATGTTGGGAGCTATAGATGCCTTTTCTAAGAGAGCGACTAGCACGCGACAGTCTCGTTGGACGTCTATTAAACAATGTCAGGTGGAATCTGGAATGCGACCCGCCTACAAGGCCGCGTGCCATCTCGCGCATAGGTAGCCGATATTCAGCGGACGCTTTATCAACTTTTATCACATTCGTTTTGCTGGCTCTTTCTATACCAACAGCTATTTTTGGTAAATTGCTATCGCATTGTCGTTCCAAATTAATCGTTCATTACATTCCTATCATTTTTGGGCATTGTTTAATGATAAAAGAGCAAATCCTTCAATTATTATTGTTGTAGCACGAATAAAATATCTACCATTTCAATAACGTAATAATGTTTAGTTTCCCTATATGTCATTTTAGTTTGACTAATGTAAGTACATACTTAAACCCAAATGTGTACATACACATTTGGGTTCGCATGTATGATGTAGGTACATACTAATTCATAAAAGAAACTACCAAAACCACTTTTTTGAAACATGATTTTGGACCAAATTATGACATCACTCCTATTAATAAATAATAAATTATTGTGGTTCTTAATATTTACCGAAGCTGTCTGAATCGCTGGCAGGGTATGCAGGGCACGGCTGTACCATCGTTGCAGCACGCGATAGTACATCTAGTGCTGACTCCACCTTCTCCATATTTACCTGATACAACAAACAAAGCGGTTAATATACATTCATATACCTACTCAAAAACATACAAATAAACAGAAGAAATAATATTACTAATCAATCACCATACACTCAGTCGTATCAGTAACTGTAATCATCAATTATGTTTGCTACATTTTACATCAAAATTAAACTTTATCATAACAAATGACAGTCCAATATCACCCAAAAGATATTTCGGTTCGGAATCGTGTAGTCGACATCATTCATTTAGTCTAAATATTTGAAGGAATTCATGTCTGGCAGCGCGAAGCTGTTTGGTTTGGAATTAAATATCGCAGACTAAAAGTCATAAAGGCATGCGAATACCAAAGCGGCGGAAATTCCTCACGGCACGTAAACGGCTAGACGGTGGACAGACGTGCGCCGAGTCGTACGAACACCACGTAAATAAGAGGGAGGAATCAGATGATCAAACAAAGAGTTGTGAAACGTGGCAATCGGCCGCATACCGCGACCGCGTCGGGAACGAAGCCAATGGACCACTGTATCGCAGATCAGACACTAACACCACGCCAAAATATTAGCATTTCATCTTTAATTAACTTGCAACTGTTGGATTTCTTTACACTGGAATGAATAAGACGAGCTACGATATGAAGATTTTTTTTTATAAGACTTCATGCACAAACTTATGTACAAGGTGGGCTTAATGCCTAGGGCATTCTCCTCCAGCCAGACCTTTGGGTGATGCAGAGACAAAAACAATGGTCGATGCAAGAAGCAAGCGTATTCAGGACTAAACAGAAATACATAAAAAAGGATAGTATAGACTTACATAAAATAAATCCCTATATAAACTTACATGTATATAACATAACAATAAACTTACACAATTATATGAAGATTTCTGGGATACAAGAGAATACTTTGCCCACATCCTTGTTTCAAACTTTCGAATGATTAATGGGGTCTAGGCTAATGAACTACCTACTTAAATACAAATATAAATATAAACGGTTTTTGGATTCACCATTCAACCAAAGAAAACCATATAGATACTAAAGATAACATTGACAATGCGGTTAGTAACTTTACAGTATAGTTAATGGTACATTATTTTCATAGAAACTTTATATGGATATGTAGTTGAACCTCTGTTGTTAATTATAACAATTTTATTAAATTACTCCATTATGAGTCACTTGGAATTCTTTGCCTTTTATTATCGGTTATAACTTTGTATAAAAGAAATTATTGGACCATTTATGACATGTAGTACACGTTTTATTCTATTTTTGTTAAGAAGTACGCCATATTTTTTAGATTAATGAGGTATTCGGGACCGCTCGCGACTCCAATATTTCTTAATTAGCTTAATGATCGATGAGTCGCAGACATTTTGGACCAGATTCCAAAAAAAATTATTATGAGCTAACTAAACTATATTCATTGCGTATTATTGGACAACGCAGACCAAAATATATAGTTAATAATAAACAAGATTCGCATAGTTAAATCTGCATGCCATGCAAAATATTTCTGTGACGCTCATGCCAAACAAAACAAATAGATAACAATGTCGTTGCTTAATTAACTGAATACCTGACAGTCAGTAGCTGTATTGTAAGATCCATTAAACGGGCTATAATTAATGATACTAAAGATACAATAAAGTGAACGAAACGAAGATGCACATTCCCGGTGCGGCGAATACATAAAATATTTCATAAACAAATGCCACTAACGAATCTAAATGGAGGTTAGGTTTCTAGAATGTGAAAATAATGACATTACATTTAGAAGTAACGTAGCGTGGTGCTGCTCTCAAATAAGGTAAAGAGATGGAGAAGAGAAGGGTAAACAAAACATTGGTATGACGAGTGATGCGATGACTACGTTAATGATGAGGAATTTGGTACATTAACCACAATAGAATTTTTCTGGCCGGAGGCGGAGTCACGAGTACGGTCAGTGTTGGTATGTCGGTATACACACGTCGAATAGATCATTCGACACATAGTCAGATGGTCACGAACTCATTCAACGGAACATGGAACTTGTAATGGAATTTGACACGTAAATTCCACTAAAAAGTTAACTATTTGGCCATCATTATTTTTAAAGTGAAATGCTAGCCTCCAGCTTGAATTCTTTAAGCATTACCACATTACATGAATCAGAACCTGATAATTGGACAATAACAATTTATTTTGAAATGTTTGAAGAATAACGTCACAGTCTTATATAGTGAATAATGATGTCCAATACATTAGGATACCGGACTAAACAAACTGATAATTAAAATTATTTTTTTATGTTAAGAAGACAATTCGACATTGAAAAAAAACCAAATTTATTAACAAATTGGGTTTATTGAAATAATGTATGAAAGTAATGATCGAAGTCAATGAGGTTATGTTATAAATAAAGTTTTGTTGGTTACCTATTACGGTTTTTAGAATAGGTAGGTATAACAAATTCTAATTACAATGTGACCAGACAGAATACAGCCGATATAGAAATAAAAATGGATAAATGTTAGTTTACATTTACAACAGCTGCAGCTGTACAACATCTGCGGAGAATTATTATCTAGAATATATAATATAACCTTTGATAGTGAAAAAAAAACAAACAAATACCACTGGGCAGAAAACCATAAAGTTACAGGCGATATTATTACTTATTATGGCTAAGAAAACGAGATGTATTTGTATTGTGATGTTTATGAACCATTGTAACTGTAACCTAGTAGCCTTATATTAAATTGTAGTAAAACAAGCGTGACAAATGGAACAAGAATTAACTTTTCATAATACATGCCTAGTCTACATATGTACAGACAATTATACATAGCATGTTACTATAGATCATAAATGTAGCTACAAAATGGACAAACGATAATGTTAGAAGACAATGTTAATTACAACATACAACCTAAATTGTTATCACCTGCTAGTCTTCAGACGTAAACCACATGGTGGTCGAACCTTGACATTCCGAATGTTAAAAATAATAATCTATTTCAGTTTAACGTAAATCTTTTGAAAGTATACCTTAAGTCTAGGGGTTAGGGTTATGTATGGACGGTTTTAAGTATTCTTTTGTCGGTTGGCCCGCATTTGGGGTGAGGCGTATTCTTTTACGACGGTCGCTACCCCTGCTGCGCGACGCACGTGGCTGGGGCCGGAATACGGGCAGATGTTACTATTGTGGGGTGCCCGATACCCCCTCGTGTACTGTCGATGCTACCAAAAAGTAACGCGGCTGCTTTGAGTTTGGAATCATTACGCGTAAAAATACCGTTAGCAATGTTAACTAGGTATTCAATTACTTTAACTACGTTCATCTATCTTAAATGAGTATTTTCTGTTGTAACATTAGGATAGCAAAATGAGAAATAAGTAACTGTATTTATGAATGATAGCTTTGTTGTTAACCGAACAGTTAGTTTGCTGTTATTACTGGATACATTTCTGATAATTTTATAAATATCACGTGGTTAATCTGGGAAATCGATGTGATAAACATCTAACAGTACCTTCACAAGTATACAGTCACATTTAGTCGTAACGATTACTCACACTATGATAAATTCCCGAGTAATTTGAAAAGTCTACCGTCAAGTCTGCGTGGTTCCAATACAATTGACGGAATCCATACGGGGTCACCGTCAACATTGGCTAATCGGGCGACGTTTATCGTGCTCTTATCACAGAGTACGGCCGCTACATGCGCTTGTGTGGGAATAGAGCGTTTGTACGCCGCGTACGGTCGCATTCCACACTATTATGTTCGCGAGATTCCATGCCATGTAGCTTCGCTGAATACCTTGTTGCCTTCGCTCCGTATAGCGGCGAAATTTTTTGCATGGCGCGCTCGCAAATCAAACCGGTAGGTACCAAGTCATTACATTACTTATAGCATAGCAGCGTTAAGTAGCCACTTTGTGATGAAGCACTCATGATGGATGATAACCGATGGAAGCATATCATTGCCGTTTACTCGCTAGCATCTGTAATAATCCTAGTCTTCTGTTTTTTACGTTTCATTCGTTCACGGAGCAGGCAGTTATCGGGTTAAATTAGTAAATTTAAGTAGATTGTAAAACTTTGTTTTGCGGATCACTGCGTACTTGTAAACAGATAAATATTTATCTAACATAAACAAGTTAACATATGGTTTAACACTCACTGAAGCTACTGTATTGTAGTAGATAAACACCATCACTATTTTTCCAACTTTAAAAATGTAACACAACAATAAATAACAAATAAACAGTGTGGGTACTTACACAATGTATGTTTTCCCACGATGTTCTTCAATGAGACCAAGGGAAATGTTGTTTCACACAATATTTATAATTTTAATCAATGACCACGACGTTAAGTTACAAGTTTGTAAAGTTTATAGCGTTCTATGTAACTGAAACCTTCATGACAATGTTACAAAACCGGCGAAGAACAAAAATCAATAGGTAAGTATTGGAATCGCAACAACTCTGTATACATTCGTCAGATTAACACGACACGCTGGTTACTTCTACGACGCAAAAAATATACTGACTTCTATCGTTTATTATCCATTGTCCGTCAAACGCACTGTGTAGAAGTATTTGTTGTTATTTCATAAAATCCAACTATCGCGCCACGACTCTGTTGACGAAATAGTCGCGTTTGACATTTGAGCCGAGCCCACTGCGATTGGAATCCAAGGAATGTCAAATATTTTCACTGCTGCCATCTATGTGAAAGAATGTTAAAGTGCTCAGAGGCGGCGCACTGGAGTGGCACACACCGTGTTTCCTACAGCCGTATTAAATAACTTTTAACTTTAAAGATGATAAAAAAAGTTAAGTAACTGTGTTAGTTTACCATATTGTATCAAGACGTTTTTGTTATATACTTTTTAGGCTAGTTAAGAGAATAAGAAAGTGTCGCGACGCGTTCGCGAATTCATTGGAATGCGTCCAGGTTATTGCCGCCGCTGAGAGACGTCACCGGCGCAGGCGTGATGTTGGTAAGCCGCGTCTGCTGCAGGGTTATCGACACATGGCGTGGAGGCGAGGAGTAGGGTCGCCACTCGGCAGCGACTTGCCGCCATGCCGGCCTGCGCATGTAGCATAACACGCTGTTTCGGTTCGATACTTTCGTTGGAATTTATAATTTAACATTATGGAATTTCTCGAGTATGACGTAATTAAATTACATTTTTCATAAAACTAAGTTTGTTCTTAACATCAGAGAAGTAGATAGGTACCTACTGTATGTATGAAGTGTAGGTATTGATAACTTGTCTGTGGCACATTTAATCTACATTCATCCAACAGATGATAATGTCTTCTGATAAACAGCTGTGCATCTGTCGATGGTTCTTTGCAGTAGATGGAGTCTCGCGTCACTAGAATATGTGAAGGCACGCATGCTTACTTTGGAACGTTATTCCTACACTTAACGCCATCTACCGGCTACATCCAGTACTCGCACTGTCACTTTGTTCACTGAAATTCCAAACACTAGATGACATTAGCAAATTAGATTATTGAGATGTTTTCAATTAGAGCGAGCCTAAGTATTTAGGGCAAAATCATTGATATGATGCTATGTATCAATTCAAAATGACCTTGTCTGTTAGGCAAAGGTGAAACAAATAGATTTTTAGCTGTGATTATTTTTATTACATTCATTGTTTTTCAAAGGTAATGGTAATTTTCTTCATAATTCTATTTTCAGTTACCATTTCCAAATAGGGTCATATCACAAATATGAGTGTTCTTGGATATGCAATCGAACAAGGTTTATTCAAACTTCAGTATCAAGACACAATCTTTATTTCTAACACAACATTCTCATTAAACTCCGGAATTAAATTAACGCACCATCAACAAAAAACAAGCGACAATTGATATTTTCTTCTAAACAATGTTTAATGTTACCCATGAGAGCACTCTTTGCCTAAACTAAATAATAAAGGCCGTCACAGACCTAATTAAGCTAAAATATATATTATAGCAAGGTATATTATTAAATATTTTGAATTGAGTGACCACATACACAGTTATAATATACGTATATTTTAGTGACGTCACTAAAATATATCCAATAAATATATTTTGTTATTATTTATTTAAATCAATACGATCACAGACCGATATTATAGTACAGCTCCCATCTATGGTAGCTAGCTGTAATACAATATATAGCTCGGTATAATATTGTATATTATAGCTAGATCTGAGATCTGTGACGGCTTTAAGTCACATAAACTGCAGATAACTAAACCTACTCGGGTGTTACTTACAATATAGCTCATTGGATAATTCGTGTTCACGATTAACATTTAAGTGTGGCCATTTCTAACTACAAGTATAATTACTCCGTCCAAAAACTTTACAACAATTTGATTTTTCAGTCTTCACACTTAAATTGCATTGGGATTAAATTAGAATATAATTATTAAGTATAATTAGGGAATATTTTTATGTATTATAATTTTATTTGAAACAATTGAATACAATCTTATCAATACAATTTTAAAATTTTCATTTTATTTTGATTAAATAGTTTTATTTATTAAATAGACAAAGACTATAGAGGATAGATGTTTAATGGAAGATTAAAAGAAATTAATGTATTTTATTATCACATAAAATATATAAGCCAACACAATCTTGTTTATTTTACCTACAACTTAATTTTAACTGATACGTAAGTGTTGATATTCAATGAGGAGTTATACGATTTCGTATAGATAAACGGAATAGTGTTTTTCAAGCTCTTTCAGGAAACTGTTATAGGTAGATATAGTTAGCCAAGTATTTCTTTGGCAATTTCCATCTTTACAGAAAGTTCTATTAGGTGTATAAAAATGGAAAAACACTGAAATAGAAAACGGGCACGACACAACACGTCAAATAAACAAACTACTCACAAAAATGTACCGAACAAGAATGAAATCACGATTTTGTAAGTAGTTGTTATACTTCATAGTTAGAGTAAGACCAAAACATCGATTAGGAATAATTTTACGCAATATATCATCACTTATATATTACTAAAATATCCATTTAATTACGATACAAACATCTCACTTGGGATTCGATTCGCAGGTAGTCTAGGGCCTATGCTAATACATATTCATTAATTTGGTTCCGTTTTTCGTCTTTTTTAAATACTTATAACGAATATTTATATGGATAAAGGTATAACAGTTTAAAGTGGAATACTCTATAAGTGTTTTATCTTAGAACATTTAGCACGAACACCTAACTATGCTACAGGGTGGTTACAGTTTCGTAGTACATTGCTACGACTACAAATGACTCCATACGGTTACTACATAAACGTTTTTGTATTTTTATCTTCTACGTAAAACTATCAATCTTCAATCTGCCATATATATGTATATATATATATTTATATTATAATAAGTAATATATAATAATAATGATTTACGAAACGATTTATTTAAAATTAACCACCTTTTAGGCAAAATAACAGTAGACAGGAAAAATATGGTGAAACAAGTGAATTGCATATTCCATCTACATCCATGAAAAAAAGTTAATTTTAATTATGATTACTATCTGAAAATATTCTATGATATCGTTTTAGGCAGATCGAAAACAAAATGAAACATGTAAATAATTATTAAATGTGTATCATTCATTTTATTCTTATACACAAACATATCTGGATAATGTTTTTCATAATAGATAGTATCTATTGAATCTACAACCTTGTGTGACATTTACTGACAATTTATTTAACGAATAGTTTGGCTTGAGGTGTGACGATATTTGGTGTTCGGATTGGACACAGTTTTTTTTAAGAATGAGGAATTATTACAACATTAAGATATTATAACACTGATCTAATACTCTTAACCTTTGTTGAAAAGTTGATTTTCACTTACTGTCAGTAAATCTAACACAAATAGGTAAGGGGTGGATTATATTTAACTTTATTTTGCCTAGCTACCTAGTACGTGCATACCTTCTTACGATTATTTATATTTATTTGTTTCCATACAAATTATTTTTCATCATCTTAAGTATACAGTTTCAGGTCACAGAACGCCAAGTATACTCTCAGCAAATAAACTTTCAAAAAGCATTTTTGGTAAATAACTCGAGAGCATTAAATGCAATATATTTGTAAGGAACCTGACTCATACTTAAGGCTTAAGTGATAGCTAAGACATAATATTTTTAAGATTTGATATTTTTTAACTGAACATTTTCTATTGAGATAACTTTTCTAATAAAATTGCCTTCAAGACATTCCCATTTACCGGCGTTACTTAGAAGGTCGAATAGACTAAATTGTCCGCTGGTAGGTAATTGCTACCGCATTCCGCGTTCGACTAAAAATAACTAATTGTTAGAATGTAACGTTGGACAAAATGCTAAGATGCCTTAATACAATGGCAGGGCTTTCATGTGCAGTATACATGTACCAACATTCACTAAGTACAGTCCAAATTTTCATATCTTTCATCCGACATCGAGTATAGTACGAATCGCCACTAAGTTCTCAACGAGCCTACATTACGTTTTACGTACTAAGCTAATGTAATGTGCATCTTACAATAATTTGGTATCATGTATATATTTTATATATTCATATACGTATATATCCTTAAAACTTCAGGGGACGGCTTAACGTGTTAACTGAAATAATGCGTTAACATTTAATAAAGTTATCAATAATTTAGGATATATGTTTTCTCACGACGATTTTCTCTGAAACGATTCTGTAACGTCAGGTTATGAAAAATAGCACTCATGTGTATAGGTATATAATTATAGCTCTAATAAATAAATTAAATAGTCAACACTTTAATGCGTATCGTCTAAATCTCGTATATACTATGTTTATTATTTTAAGACCGTATCAAGGTGAAATATTAGAGACTAATAGCTAGGATGCATTAAATAAACTATAGGTACATAATGTTATGGCATCCTATCTTGTGAAAACAATAATATGTTTTAGAAGTATGACAGAATAAATCTCTACGAAATAAATGACAGAATAAATCAAACCTAAGTATCTTAATGACGCGTGTAAATGTGTCAACAAAATGATTAACACGACAAATTTATACTAATTGGCTGTCATATTAATGAGGTACTTATTTAACTCCACTATTAGATATTATTGACGCCAGATATACCTAGGCTTAGATATATAATAATATATAGGCAGAAAATGTGTATTTAAAATATAGCGTAAATAAATGTAAATAGTACTATGTGCTATTAATGCATATTTATATATAAATCATCTCTTTTATGAACGGAGCAGTGTATTTTAAAGATCTTTCATCTACTTGCCATAAAACTAATTTTCCGCCCAACGACAAAATGTCTTGTCTACCTAGCTTAAATAATTACGAATTTGATATTATTCTGATAGTCTATTAATAATTACAATTATAACATTAAGTACATCGACTTGGTTATGTTATTGTTGGTTTATTTGATAAATATATAATTAATTTAAGTATGATCGATAATGCTGACAATTATGTCGATACTCTCAAACTGGAGGCAAATCAGTCGCAACTCAGAAAATATTTAAGTACCGGTAATCAATATAGACTTAAAAAAATCTTTGTTGACTATGGAATATACTATCGATACTGATGATAGACTAAGCGAAAGTAGAAAGCTATGTTTGAAAGAAAAATGTCATTGTCGACTCAAGCTTGCAATCGATGACCGAAAAGGCTATCAGTCTGAGACATTATGATAATTATGGACAAACGATACTTACACTGTATCGTTAATTATTTTAAATGAATGGTAGGGGTACCATTCCACGGTAAGTACATAAGCTAATTACTTATCAAATGTCACTGGCTAAGTCTACGATGTAAGGTCTAGTCTAAACTAAACATTCCTGCAATCAACTAATACACGTACATATTATATTTAACTTAAATAACGTGCGGCTCTAATCTAAACTTTGATAAACTAATATTATTATACATACTAGCTCTCCTCTACTCGACCACCAATATTCCCTTATCACTATTTTCTCTAACTCTGTCACTATTGTGGATAGCTTTAAGCATTCGAAACATTTCAATTTAATGACAACACATAATTATAAAATGTGCAAAGTATCTTTTTGTAGATCACGCTTTTATAAATAAGTCTTATCCAATACAATAGTATATATTTTATATCCCAATTAAATTAATTTAAATTTTAAATCACATTGTTCAAAAAATGATATGTAGCCAAGTAATTTTCGTAAATGGACCGTAATACAATGTGTATAATATACATATAATTTATATAATATTACAAAATTATGTAAATTGGGAGATTAAGAAAATTACCAAAAGTAATATTTTACGTAGGCCGTGTGTCGTACCTAATCAATATTGCAATAAGCCCAATTTACCTAAAAACCCAACTTTACACAAGCGTAAAAATACAATATGTAAGTAAAGAAGTTACAAAAGGACAAAATACTATTGTTTACTTAAATTCGAATAGCCATTTTTGAAGCTTACCAAATAATTGAAACTTATACTACTGAAAAGAAAACTAAATACATTGATATTAGCGAAATATATAGTTATAAAAATTACAAAAAGAGTTGCTTAACGAAAAGCAATGGTCGGTCGCGCGACATGGCGGGGCGCGGCGCGGGCTGCGCGGCGCCGGTGCAGGCGGCGCACGGCGCCATGCGCAGCGGCC